TTATGCAGTAGACTTTTTTGGGGGTCCAATCTATTTGGTGTTCTGTAAGCTTCTTGTATCTTCATAGGAATTTTCTTCTTTAGTTTGGGGAAGTTTTCTTCTATGATTTTACTGAATATATTTTCTGTGTCTTTGAGCTGGTATTCTTCTTCTTCTATCCCTATTATTCTGAGGTTTGGTCTTTTCATGGTCACCCAGATTTCCTGGAGGTTTTGTGTTATGACTTTGTTGACTTTAATGTTTTCTTTGACCAATGAATTTATTTCCTGTATCATATTTTCAATGCCATCTCTTGTATTCTGTTGGTTATGCTTGCATCTGTAGTTCCTGTTTGTTTACTCAGAATTTCTATTTCCAGAATTCCCTCAATTTGTGTTTTCTTTATTGCCTCTATTTCAAATTTTCAAGTCTTGAACTGTCTCCTTCACCTATTTGATTGCTTTTTCTTGGTTTTCTTGGCTTTATTTAAGGGATTTATTGATTTCTTCCAATTGTTTGTTTGTTTTTCCCTCAATTTCTTTAAGGGAATTTTTCATTTCCTCTTTAAAGGCCTCTATTATTTTCATAAAGACATTTCATGGTCATTTTCTTCTGTTTCTTCTACATTGGGATGTTCAGATCTTGCTGTTGTAGAAGCGTTAGTTTCTGGTGGTGCCATATTGTTCTTTATGTTGTTAAATACATTCTTACACTAAAATCTACCCATCTCTTCCTCCAATTGGTGCAGACAATGGCAGTGCACTGGGGGGTGGGGAAGGAGGCGCTTACCATGTGATTGGTGCAGGCAGCAGGTGTGGTTCAGGGAGTCCCTCTTTGTCCAATCAGTGCTGGTGGTATCTGTGTCTCTGAGGTTGCTGAGTTCATGTGGGATGGGTGGGCTTGGGGGGCAGGGTGGGGCTTATAGATTACAGGGTCTGATGGGGGTAAAGGCCTTTCTGTAGGCGCCTTGCCTGCTGGCCGGCTTGTGGGTCTGCACTGGGTGGATGTAGGGGGGTCTAGGGACTAGAGACTGGGCTGTCCAGCTGGGAGAATAGTCATTCACCTCTTAGTCCAATCAGTGCTGGCAACGTCTTTGTCTTAGGAAGCTGCTGAGGTCATGGGGGATGGGTAGGCTTAGGGAGCAGAGTGGGGCTTGCAGATTATAGGGTCTGATGGGAGTAATGGAAAGGCCTGCCCGCAGGAGCCCTGCCTGCTGGCTGGCTCAGAGGCTGTGCTGGATGAGTGTGTGTGTGTGTGTGTGGGGGAGCCCAAGGTGTACCTTGGGGCCTAGTGCCTAGAGACTGGACTTTCCAGCTGGAAGAATGCTATATATTTTTAAAACGTCTTGACTTCAGAAGTTAAGTCAAAAGATATGTTACTTTGGAGAAGAGGTTATGCTGTTGTTTCCACAGGAAACGAGAAGCTGTGGATTACTTTCCAGGTTAATATGGTATGATTGAGGACAACCCCCCTGAAAAATTTTGATGACAAACATGAAAAAACTATGGGGCATGTAATGTATATTTTACCTGCTCCAACATTAAACAAAAAAATCATCTTTGGCTGACTTGTATACAATGCAGAGTCTATACTTGTATAATACAGATATATATGTTACCTTTAAAAGTTTTATTTTCAGAACAAGGGGCCAGACACCAGTGAAGCGAGTGGAGCAGGTGATCCAGCCTTTCAGAGTGCCTCTGTTACAGTATCCAGAGTTTCCTCAGAGTTTCTGTATCCAGAACAGCTTCAAGGCTGCTAGCTAAGATGATCCAGTCTAACAAACTATTTCAGCCAAGACCTGAAAATTATTCTGATTTTCTCAGAGTTCCCCCAAAGATATCAATGCCTATAAAAAGCAGAAAGCAGTTTAGAGAAAACAATGCCCACCTCCCCCAAATTTGGTTATAAATGTTTGTTATCATTTAAGGGGGGTTGTTTACAAGTTGTTATTGGTAATGCTAAAATAAGCTAAACAAATATTAAATTTAAAGATCTCTTTCTAAAAGAAAAAAGGGGGATATGATATGGAAATGACAGAATAAAAGGGCAGATTATTGAATCTTCAATAGCTACTAGTCCTAAATATTTTACATTGGTATGGGTTGTGGTTTACTGATACAAACTTAAATTAATTTTGTTATGCTGTATGTATGTTTCTACTCTTGTTTAAGGTATTATGTTTATACAGCTCATTTAAAAAGTAATGTATAATTAAGATTATACATAGGTTAAGAGTTAGTCACACTTAGTCATGTTAGTTATGTTTTCAAGGTCATACAGAGATATATTTTAGATAGACAGGTAATCTTAAACACTTCTTAGACCTACAGAGTAGGCATTAAATGTGTTGAATAATCTAAGGCTTTTTATGACAGTGAGACATTCTGCTCCTGACAACACCAATCTGCTTCATGGAAGATGATGGGCATTAAAGAAACTCCATATGGAGTTTGCTTTCTTTGTGTCAAAGGTCAGCCATTTGGGCAAAAAACTGCCTTTGCTTCAATTACTGACATATACTGTCCAACTAGACCAGCGGGATGCAGAAGAATGTGACTGTAAGACTTTGCCAACACAAGGTAAGACAGTCCTTAAAAATTCCCTGCTTCTCAGAAATGTCTGTCAGATATTCTAGGCCTGTAGGCCAAAGATGGATGATCTTTGGTTGATTGTCCAGGATGCCAGATGTTCCTGTCACTAGATAATATTTCACCCTTTTGGGGTCTTTCAAGGCAAGACAAGATATTCATAAAGTTTTCCTTAGTTACAATAAAAGGTAAATTAATTATAAAATTTTAGAGTCATAAAGATAAGATAGATAGTAGAATATTTTCTTTG